TAATTGTACATACCTGGGCACAAAGTGTAATTTTAAATTGTTTGGGAAGACCTCAAACAATTTAAATTAATTGAGAATATTATGTCAAGTCCTTGGTTTATGGTTAATTCATAAGGACGAAATTTTAATTCCATTAATATTCTAACCTTTAGAATAAAACCAATGCACTTTTGCCCCATCATTGAATCCAATTCAATAATAATATGTAATAAATCTTTATTACCCTGGTTAGTGCTAGCTATCCATGAATAATCATTTCTCACAATACATTAATTCGGATGCAAACCGTTTACTTCCAAACATCATAATCTGATTAATGACATGTATTAATCTCTTTCTTGAGCGTAGTTTATGTGGTGACTCTTTGGTCACTGATCTAGTCGTGGGCCAATATCAGATTTTGATATGTTTCGTTATTTCTTTATAATCGAAACTCCCACTGATTATGGTAGACGTCTAGCAATGTCCAAACCCTAAACCATAATGAAGTGTAAACCCAATGAACCTATTCTGATTGTAAGTACCGTGTAGTCAAATCTCTCATTATCTAATCTCGATTAAGAATGGTTCATGATATGTCAAAACCTTTAACTTAATCTTTAATCGAATTGTCAATCGATACAATAGAACTCGTCAACATGAAACTACTTTCATCTGACATTCATTCCTACTGTGGCAGAGATTTCCCTATTCCAATTTATTGACATTCGTCTGGGAACTCGAGATTGGACTATTTTGAGGTAATGGATCATATCTTGACCATCACTTGTCCCGCACATGAATAACATATGACCAAACCGGCTTATACACAAGACAGACTAGTCTCGTGCTTATAACACCATATGAATCATATGCATCTTTGTGAATCCAACCGTATGGTCTCAGGTTAAGGATCAGTGGTACATAGCACAATCCTACAATGCATCATTGACACCATCCATGTGAACATCGTCAATCGGTCCATTCCAATAAACAGTTCATTAACGTGTTATCCAGGCTAATCCCTTAGTGACAGCCTCTTAATCATCCACAACTAATAATCACATGATATTCAATGGAGACATTCAAACATGCCACACATGCAATTTTTTGCCCAATTAACATTCTTGCGTAGGGATTCTTTGATGATTTGATCTTCTGAAGATCCATGTCATCGGACATTTCATATGCAGTATAAATATAATATAATATAAATGAAGCAGAAATCAACATGTGAAATAAAAACATTTCCTTTATTCATAATAAATTTACAAGATATAATGTCTGATAAAATGAACATGACAACGATGGTTCTAGGGCATTACACTAAACACATATACTAAACATGAATTCTAAAAAAAAAATCGAAACAGTAATATTGTAACTACACCTCTATAAGTTATAACCATTATAGTAATAAAATTAGTTTGATGCACCGTATGACTATAGAGAGGTTTACTGTATATACAAGGTGTCATAGCCACGAGGCCTATGATTGGCTAATTAAATTAGCATAAGATAAATGGAAATTAATATATTTTCAATAATTTAAGTGTTAAAAGGAAAGACTTTCACAAAGGGAAAAATTCAAAATGAGGTTACTGTTTATAAAACAATTAAAAAAAGACAAAGTTTATTAAAATATAAAAATATAACACTTAAGATATAAGACCGTTTCATTTAGTTTTATAAAGGGGATAATGTAAATCTTTTATTATATAAGGTAAAAATCAAAAGATACATAAAAAATAAATTAATTATCATTGAAAGATAACATGTGTCAAAAGCCCCAACACATCAGGAAAGAACAAAAAAGGTCAAAGAAATAAGAAATTAAACAAGAGAAAAAATGACAAGAATATAGCAAGGGGAGCATTTTCAAAGTTTAAGGCGAAAATGATAATTTCACGATTTTGCTTAGAGTAGACAAGTTTGGTCATATAATAATAATATGTATTAATTATTCTATAGCATAAAATACAGGTCCCCAAAAATTTGAATCGACCTAGTGTAGATTTAAGAGTAACACAACTTTTTCCTACCCAAATAATTGTTTAACGACACTTTCTCACCCACAAGCTTTTAAATATCATTTTATTATTCAAATTATATTTCGTTTTCGATTTCAACATCGTTGCGACCTAACCACTACAATTCCCTTCCCGATCATATCACAAAAAACGCTCAAACCTACTTTCAATACCCCATCAATCGTCAACAATCAAGCGATCAGGGTTTGTACAGTCGTCTCTCCCAAGTCAAATTCCAATCAACCTCAATTACCAAAATTAACATTTACCACAAAAAAAAACAAAAAAAAAACTCAGTTTTTTTTTATTGTTACAGTAACCAGACTATGGCATAGCACGGAAAAAGAGCCTTTAAGGTTGCAATGACATAAAATAAGAAGAGGAGAATAAAACAGAAGGGATAAAAAATTAAAATTTAAAAAAAAACAAAAAAACATTCGCTTACATGGGTTTTTGCAGAGAGCTACCATGCTGGAGTGAGGAGATGCCCGCCCAAGACCGGTAGGTTATCTGAGGGGTTTTATGTCACCACATATAGGAGGGGTTTGAGAATAAACATATTAAATTGATAGTTCAAGGCGTAATATGTAAAAACTCCACTGAGGTTTACATATTTCTTTAAGCTCCCCTGGGGGATTACTTTCCTCAATTACTCCTTTGGATACCTTTTCTAACGGTAAAGTGTTAAAAGTCCAATAATGCCCAAAGTGGACAAATCCTATTTGGTCCTGCTTTCTTTTTGTTATATTAGGACCTTTATTGTAAAAAACTAGTGAATTTTTTTCCATAAATTTGACTGTTAATAGACTCTACGTCTACAAAAAGTCAATCCACTCTTAACTCATCTCTGATTCTCTGCAAATCTATCTCTACCCTTAAAAATTGCATGAATTATAAAATTAAATTTTATTATACTCAAACAATGCCCTGCTATAGAATTTTTTTTTTTTTTTTCTTGCATGTTAATATCTGAATATAAAGATAACTTAAATATAATTAAATTTTCAGTTTCAGAAGGACCGAAAAGTAACAACGTAAATCAGTATAAGATTTTATCTTACTTAAGATAAAAGAGGGATGGAAGTCAAGCTGTTTTGATGAAATATTAAGTACCAAAACTCACTTTAATTGGGTTTTATCAAACTCGTTGATTTTGAATTAAGGAATTTGTTGAATTAGTCTTTTGTTTCGCTTAGACAAAGTTTAAAGGCAACATGAAAATTAGAACTAAACTTTTAAATGCCAATAAATCTTATAACATTGAAACAATATATTGAATCCTTTACGAAATAAATTTAATGATAAAAACATCTAATATAATAACGAGTTCACTTGAGAAACTGCCAACAGATAAGTATAAAATAAATCAAAACATTTTACCAACAAAAAAAAAAAAAAAAAAACTGGGTGTGTCAAATAGTGAAAAATCAAAAGATATATCAATCCAGAAACTATACTTATCAACAGAAGATATAATGACAAATATCATTAAAATAAATAGTTTCACTAGATAAGCTGTGCAAAAAATTAAAAAAAAACAAAAAAAAAAAAAAAAAAAAAACCAAAACATTTATCCCAAAACTTGAAAAAAAAAAAATCTAAATGTAAAAAAATTGAAAATCATAGTATTTGATAAAATCAGAAATATAATATCTTATACCCTAAAAGATAAACCAAGGTGGATGTAACAAGGCTTAATTAGCAGATAATAACTTGAAAGTTTAAAATTGAAACTTGATCTAATCTTATTTATTTTGCATCTATATAATCTCACAAACACCACCATCAAAAAAAGCAACTCTTAACTATGTTTTCTTTATCATTCCACCAAACCGAAACTGACTCATATTTAGAAGGCGAAGATGGCTCTTAGGGGGCGTTTGGTTAATGAATGTTAGATTACTGGGAATGTTGGATTACTAGAAAGATAGATTACCTTGGAAGATTACTGAGAATCTTTAGGAAAATGTGTTTGGTTAGTTGGTGGGTATGTTATATTAATATGTTTGGTTATGGGAAATAAATTGATGGGTATGTTATTTAAACTACTAAATTGTCCTCATTTCAAATATTAATTTAATATTATTTTTATTATTAATTTTTGAATAATTTTTTTAACCCCCAATATTTCAAATTTAGTGAAAACACCCCCGCTTATATAAAATTTTAATTTATTATGAAATCACCCCCACCTCCTGCTGCCACCGCAAACCACAGCCGGAAGTCTCCGAAAGTCCCATCAGTAGCTCACAGTGACCAAAAGGCTCTGCTATAGCCGTTTCTAGCCATATTGATGGCCGAAAACGGCTATATTAGGCCAGATCTGGCGGTTAATGGCCAGATCCCTAGGCATTATCAGCCAGATCTGGGCAAGATCTAGCTATTAACGGCCACATCTATTCCGGCCAGAATAGATATGGCTATTAACAGCCAGATCTTGCCCAAATCTGGTCGTTAATGGCCAGGGATCTGGCTGTAAATGGCAAGTTCCATAGATCTGGCCTGATATGGCCCTTTTCGGCTATCAATATGGTCAGAAACAGCCATATCGGAGCCTCCCACCGAAACTCATTCTTTTTTAGGGACTCCAACAACTTTTCGGCTGCGATCCCTGGTGGTTGGCCGTTGTCGGCGGCGGTGGCTGGGTGGCAGTGGTGGCGGCGGCTGAGTGGCAGTGGTGATCTGTAAATTGTTTTAAATATAAAGACATTATTGTCCAAAATTTTAGTTAAACAAGGGTAAAATTGAAATAGGATATTAATGTAAATTTATTTTAAAATGAGGGCATTATTATCCAAAACTTTATTAATAAGGGATAAAATTGTAAAAAAAAAAAAAAAAAAAAATAACCCTGGTAATCTCAGAATACCTAAGAAAATTGAGGTAATCAGATTACCTCTAATATTACTAATTATAACTACTATTGGTATTTGAAGATTACCGGAATCTTATATTACTTGACAACCAAACGTGGTAATCAAGTAATATAAGATGACATTATCCAATAATCTGACATTACCGCCAACCAAACGCCCCCTTAAAGTTCTTTCGATCCAGGGTTCTTCTAAGTCTATCAATGTTATTCCAAGCAAAGAAATCCAAATGAACAACAGGGAAAATTATAGTCTGTGCTTTTCCATACTTGCTGCTTCTCTTCTACGGCTGCTTCACCATAATAATCAAGAAACCGTTTGTAAACCATATGGTTTTGATGCTCTTATGATTTTCGTCATGTTCTGCTTCACTGGTGCTTTTGGTGCGTCATTGATAAGGAACAAGCCACAGCTTGCAATACTTCGCAGGTTTTACTTCGTAATCTCAATGGTTTCTATGGCTTCAACTTTGTCGAGTTTGGCCTTCACCTTGTTTTCTGAAAGTTTCAGGTTGGTTTCCCTGGGAAGCATATTGTGGCAGAATGTAGATGGAGAAGATCACTTCGAAAAATTGTTCTTCTTCCTGAAGAAGAACTCTTAGAAATTACTTGAGGCCTAGTTTAGTAGAATTCCTTGAAGCCTTTCTGTGTTTGGTAATATAGTTAATATAATTTCACTCTTCTGTTAAAAATTCAGACCAGACTGACCCGATATTAATTCAAACATTGATTATATACAGCCTAAACACATAATTGATTGTGTCTTTTAAATGCCTATTCTATAGAGTATTAAATGCTAATCGTAGACTACAGACAAATTTAAAACGCTAAGTCACTTTTACACATTGTCAAAATTTTGAGCCAAACATTCCTAACCAGTTTGACATTTGGCAGTCTTATCCATAATAACATTCAACAATGATGGCTCTAACCTTCCTCTGACAAGTCACTTCATGCTCTGATTAGGTTGATTGGACACTTTCTTGTATTGTTTCCGGATCGCATTACCCTCTGGTGCTACATCCAAATTGCATGTTCATTAAGACACATGCTTAGAGAACATTTGCTTCACATCGCAGCTTTACTCATCTAGCTCATCTGATCGCTAGCTTCAAGTCGCTTGCCACATGTTTCTAGAAAGATATCAATCATGTTAACAAAAATGATGCTCCTCAGTCTGCTATTCTAGAGGTTACAGCAATATTTGAGTACACTTATCTTTCTTGCTTTTATATAGTATTTGTTCATTAAGTCCTCAAATAAGGTATTTAGGGAATTACTTACAAAGTATTTTATTAAATTCTTAGCTGACCAGTAATATGTTTTTGTTTAAACTCAAAACTAGATAGGATTGCCTTGTAAAATTGAGATCAAAATATGTTTATTTAGCATGTATGATATGTTATGTTATATTAGTGTTGGCATTTTTCATTTAAAATTTTGGTGAGCTGATGTATATATGACTATCCATATAGACGATATTCGGAATTTCTAGTATCCTATTTTGTGCTTTCATGTAAATAAGCTCATGCTGTGAATGGTGTCTAAATATAAGTTCATCTCCAACATAAATGACCTAACAGTTCTATAATTATACAGGATCCTGAAGTAAACTTTTTTTTTGCAAACACCACCGGAAATGTTGTCTTTTCGGACACAAGATTTCTCTTTTGCGTCGGAAAGATCACCGGGCCAGGCTTGTCGGGACAAATACCCCAACGGAGGTTGCAGTGTTAACTCTGTGAGCCCCAGTGACCCGTAAAACACACAAATTGCAACTTCTTTGAAGGGATTGTTGTCCTTGTATCCAGTGAGCCCCAGTGCCCCGTAAAACACACAACATGCGACTTCTTTGAAGGGATTGTTGTCCTTGAGGATACAATAAACTTTATTGCACTGAGTTTGACTCTAATGGTAAGTGCTGAAAAATCAGAATATCTAACTTTAAATGTTAATGCACAAGGTCGAGTCACTAATTCTGTTTATAAACCCAAAACCTGGGTCTGTTTGCAGACATCCACAGTTAACTTCTACTAGAATTTTTAAGTTTATATCAAATAAGTTATTTAATTAGCGTATTGCTAAATGGTATTCATGGAATTCGGTAATTTTGCACCAGTTGAAGAATGGTGAAGACCTTGTAGGTAGCCTTTAGGTGAGCTATTTTGTACATTTTATAGCGTGATTGACACGTTTAGAGAATGCATATGGACACAGGCATAAATTGATCATCTTTCATGTTTTTGTTCAGGATTCTGTCTTGAGTGTAGAGGAAGGCACAGCTGGGGCAAACTAAGTGTCAAGAAATTTCTTAATCTTGCGTATCTCTCACTGCATGAAAAGGGAGGAAACTGTGTTGTAACGCCAAATTGACGTTTTGGCCCTTCCTCTCAGGTTCCATCAAGTAAAGGCACAATCTTTCACAGCTAGATGTACTTTCTACATGCTCTTAACTTATAAAGTACCTGCTTTATATTTGCATTAGTCATAATCATTAGGAGTATATATCTACTTACTTCAAATTAAACATGGTCTTTTATAAGTATAACTTCATATCAGTTATGAGAGAAAATCTTTCCAACTAAGATGTGTACAAATCACATATAGGTTGATGAGGTAAGTCCCCATTGATTGAATGCACATGAGATCGGGCTAAAGAAATTTTTTTGCCAATTATGAACTCTAAACTGTTCAGATACTGGTGGTTTTGGTCATTACTCAGAATGAGAGTCAAGAAAACTCTGTTATCAATAACAAACGCTAAGGATTTTTTCAAAGCAAGCACTTAAACAACTTTGCTAAAAAGGGAACAGTGCTGTCAGTCTTAGTCGCATGCTTGTCAATAACGTTAGACATTAAATGACGACACAATGATTGCTGCACCCTTTCTCCTTTATGACTTAAGAAAAGTCTTTGGCCCACAATACCATTTGGAGGACCATTACCCCTCCAAGAAACCTAAACCCACCCTAAAATTTTGTTCATAAATTTACTATATAAGGAAGTTTGCCAAGCCAAATTTGTAGAAATCAAAAGTTTTCTTCTTCAACATTTTTTAACATGTAAGTGATTGTTTATTATATTGCTCCATAATGTACTTGAAACTGCCATTTTAGTTCTAGATCACATTTTCTTGGCCAAGTTCTGGACTATTGAAGAAGAGTAAATTCTGTATTAAGCCTTTGATTGAGCTCTTTAAAAAGCTTTTTATTTATTTATTTATTTTAATTCTTTAATGGCAATGTTCTTTTAATGATTAATGCATATGGATACAGCCAGAAACTGAGCTTCAAACTGACTTTATGCTTTGTTCAGGTCTGTGGACTTGAATTTAGAGGAAGGTACAGCAAGAAAATATTCTGGAGAACTTAGAAATAGAACAGTCTCAGGGGAGTTCCAAAGAGGGCCAAATTCTGATGCTGAAATTCCAGGGTCTAGGAGAATTAGAGAACTACCAAAATCTAGACATCAGAATATGGTGGTCAAACACTTGCTTTGTGTGAAGAAAATCCTTGATCCACAGGGGCCATTCGGGAAGTGGATTTGTCTTAGTTNGAAAATATTCTGGAGAACTTAGAAATAGAACAGTCTCAGTTTCAAGGGAGTTCCAAAGAGGGCCAAATTCTGATGCTGAAATTCCAGGGTCTAGGAGAATTAGAGAACTACCAAAATCTAGACATCAGAATATGGTGGTCAAACACTTGCTTTGTGTGAAGAAAATCCTTGATCCACAGGGGCCATTCGGGAAGTGGATTTGTCTTAGTTTGTGTGTGATTGCAAGCTTATTGGATCCTCTGTTTTTTTACATTCCTGTGATCAATGATCTTAAAAAATGCATTGGATTAGACAAAACATTGGGGATTACAGCTAGTGTTTTGCGTTCTGTCTTTGACTTCTTTTATATAATTTATATCATCCGCATGCCTAGGAACCTTTTTGCTCCTTGGTCAAACTGTGGAGGAGATAATTCACAAAAAAATGCAAGGAAACGTTTCCTTTGCTTCTTCCTAGTGGAACTTCTCGCCATTCTTCCCCTACCACAGGTAAAGCAGAATGTGTTATAGATTAAGTTTTCTATGTGATGAGGATTACATGAGTTATTTTCTACGCTAACTTGTTGGATATTTAAAATGGTCATTAATTATAGTTCAAGATTGCAAGTTTGCAACCAGTATCTTTAATGAACTCTAAATTTGCTAATGTTCTGCCCAGGTTGTGATCTTAATTATAGTTCCAACAATTAGAGGCTCGGAATCTTTTATTGCAATGAAGTTGTTGAAATTTTCTGTTCTTTTTCAATATGTGCCAAGGGTTATCAGAATTTACCCATTGTTTACCAAAGCTACAAGGACTTCAGGCAAACTTGCTGGAGCTACATGGCTCAAAGCTGCATTCAATCTTCTTCTCTACATGTTTGCTGGTCATGTAAGTTGAATTTTACCTACTGCTCGCATGATTCATAAAGTTTTTAGCTTCCTGTTGCATTTAATTGCAAATGCTTTACCAAGTTTTAGTAGAGGCAGAAATTAATATACTGTACTGGGCATACAATTGTTTATCAATTTGGCATATCGTTCTGATCAATGAGTGACTTGCTGGTCTTTTAGGTATTTGGAGCCTTATGGTACTTTTTTGCCATAGACAGAGAGACTGTATGCTGGAGTAAAGCTTGCATAAATCGTACCAGATGCCATTTTGGTTCTTTTTACTGTGATGACAATTTAGGAGACTACTCATTTCTAAATGATTTTTGCCCTACAAAAACTCAAAATACAACTTTATATGATTTTGGAATATTTCACGATGCTCTTCAGTTTGGTATAGTCGAGGTGACAGATTTTCCCCAAAAGTTCTTGCATTGTTTCCGTTGGGGCCTGCAAAACCTTAGGTTTGTTTTATATGATATATACTTTTCTTATTTTTGGGACGGTGAAGTTTTTTTGTTTTTTAATTAATGCTTGACATTTTACAACTACATTCATTTTTTGGCAGTTCTTTTGGTCAAAATCTTCCAGCTAGTACTTATGCTTTGGATAACTTATTTGCAATTTCAATTACCATCTCTGGCTTGGTGTTGTTTCTCTTTCTCATTGGTAATATGCAGGTTGGTATATATTTTTTCTTCTTTTTATCTCTCCATTATTTTTTATATGCTTAAGATGAAGCATGGTCAAGTTTAATTTCTATAAAATATGGTTCCTTTGGAACAGATATATCTGCAGTCCAGGACTGCAAGATCAGAAGAGATGAGAATAAAAGGGCTAGAGATAGACCAATGGATGCCCTTCCGAAAGCTCTCTGGGAATCTCCAAGACCAAGTTAAGAAATACCAGAGATACTTATGGCGAGAAACCAGTGGCGTTGATGTAGAAAATTTGCTCAATAATCTTCCCAAGGTCCTCAGAAGGAACATAAAACGCGAACTCTGCTTAGACCTTCTAAAGAAAGTGAGTTCCTTTGTCACAGTAGATGTAATTCACCTTTAGATTTCAATCTACACTAATAATAGTTAAGTTATCTCATTCTTATTCTTGAATGTTTATCAAGGTAGAGGAGTTTAAGAAGTTAAATGAAGCAACATTAGACTCATTGTGTGATTGTGTAAAGCCAGCTTTCTACATTAAGCGGACTCACATTATTCGAGAGGGAGACCCAATTGATGAAATGTTCTTTGTTGTGCAAGGAAAAATATGGACATACAATTCCAAGGATAGAACAACAGGTTCTGCCTCTTTGAACACTGATAATCTCGGAGATAATGATGGTAACAGAAGGAAAAAACATTTTCTTCAAGATGGAGACTTCTGTGGTGAGGAACTTGTTGCCTGGGCTCTGGGTTATCCCTCTTTATCCAACCTCCCTATTTCAACTAGAACTATTCAAGCACTTACAAAAGTTGAAGCTTTCACTATTATGGCGGATGACTTGAAAAATGTGTTCATTAAGCACCAGCTTTCCAGCTCTTCTGGATTGAACTTGAATCACTTGATGACTCAGGCAGCTCGAATCATACAAGATGCTTGGCGCCGCCATCATACAAGAAGGAACTCGCGAAGGTCTACCCAAGAAATGGAGTTCAGTGGCTGGCAACACTTTACCGAATATCACATCGTCGAAGAGAACGCAACCAACATTGTCTCACCAGTAAGCAGGCCTGAGACCATGGTTGAAGAACAATAGATTGGTCAGTTCTTGTGGTTTACATGCCTGGTCTTCTATTAATAGGCCAAGTTTTGTATGAGAAGTATAAAATTATGCTCATTGCTGAATGTAGAATATTATTATTTTGGGATCTTGAATTAACTTCTCAAATACCTTTTTTTTTTTCCCACTTTTGTGGAAATTTATGTCATCTATTTTCATTAGAATTTATAATTATAGTTTTAACATCGTGATGTAACGAATTTCTAATTATTGGGCCTACTAAGATTGATAGGTCTGACTTTGATTAGACCATAATAAAAGATTTTTACAGGACAATTAACAGAAACAAACAGACACACAAAGACACGTACCAACCCATAAGGAGACTCGCACATATGTAATAAGCCCCTTCACCAGGAAATTTGGATTTTTTTTTTATTGAGGTAAATTTGAACTTGAGACATATATATACAATGGCGCCATGGCCACCCCAGGCCCGGGCCTAGGAGTGACTACTTAAATTAGCATATTAAAAGTTACATAAATGGGAAATTTAATATGTTTTCAATCATAAGAACGATGAAATGACACTTTCCCACCTAAGGTTTGGTGAAATGACACTTTTCCACCCTTCATTAAGTTTTGTTATGTTTTACATTAATATTTTAGTGAAAAGAAGAAAATTTTCTTAAATATTTGACTTTACAAATTTTTATTATTTTTTAATTAGCTAAAAGGCAAATATTAAAAAGTCAAAAAAGAAAAAATAGTTAACCTTACCTAAAAAGTTAAGACTAATGTTATAGAATTATTTAATTTTAAATGACCTTAATATTTATTTATTTATAATGTCATCAATATCCTATCACTATTATTCAATAATCTAGTAAATTTATAATGTTTTTCATTTTTACTAATTAACATAGAAAATCAATATTCTTAATTAATTAAATAAACAAAAAAAAAATTGTATATTTACACTTGAACTAATAAATAATCGAGTAAAGACTTTAATTGAATAAAATTTTAATTTATAATAAACTAATTAAGAAATATACTATTTAAGGATATTTTCATCTTTTTAGTCAAATATTAACAAAAAATACTAATAGAACCTAACGAAGGGTGGGAAAGTATCATTTTGAAACTTGACATGTGGGAAAATGTCATTTCGCCAAACCTTGGATGGGAACATGTCATTCTCCCTTTTCAGTCGACTAATCTTGAGTGTTGAAAAGAAAGACTTTCATACAAAGGGATACTGTGTTTATAAAAACAATTAAGAAGGGACATAAGTTATAAATGACAAAAATATGACACTTAACCATACAAGACCATTTAAAATATAGTTTTATAAGAGCACCTCTAATGGTGCTCTTTATTTTAAAGAGCATATTTCTTATAAATAAAGAATATCTTTATTGATTTCTAAATATAAAGAGCAAAATTTTTATTTAAGTCCAATGTACTTTTTAAATTTTAATTATTTATTTTGAATTTTCCCATAAAGCATTTATGATTTTAATTTTTTCCCTCTTTTCCTTTTCCTAAATTTCCCTCTTTATATTTTATTACTTTCCCTTCATTTTTCTTTGTAAGTTAAAATGTTCCTTTTATATTCAATTGATCAATTCCATCTTCTCCTGCACAATCTTTCCACCTCTTTTCCTTTCCATTACGCCATGCTTTCTACTAGTTTAGTCAGTGTTATTCTTGATGATTCTGATTCAGATGATGATTTGGAGTTGACAATATCTGCCATAGGAGAGTTGCTTAATAAAAGAAGGAGGACATCACCACATCGCGGTTCAGTTTATGGTCATGCCTATATATGGCGTGATAGAGTTCATGGGCATCACAAGCTTTTTCATGAATACTTTGGAGAAAATCCTGTCTATTCTCCAAATTTATTTCGAAGGAGGTTTCGAATGAGTCAATCTCTTTTTCTTCGTATTCAATCTGCTGTAGAAGCTTATGACCCATATTTTGTTCAAAAAAGGGATGCTGTTGGATTTTTGGGTTTGTCTTCTCTCCAAAAAATCACTGCTGCATTAAGGATGCTTGCATATGGAGTTGCAGCAGATTATGTTGATGAATATGTAAGGATTGGTGAAAGCACTGCAGTTGAAAGTCTTAAAAAATTTGTTAAAGCAATAGTTTCAATTTTTTCGGAGAAGTACATGAGATCTCCAAACAAAATTGATATTGATAGACTGTTCAAAGAAGATGACAGTCGTGGGTTTCCTGGAATGTTAGGAAGTATTGGCTGTATGCATTGAAAATGGAAAAATTGTCCAGTTGCTTGGAAGGGGATGTATGTTGGCCATGTTCGTGAACCAACTATAGTTCTTGAAGCTATAGCTTCATATGATCTTTGGATATGGCATGCATTCTTTGGAATACAAGGATCACATAATGACATAAATGCTTTAGAGCGATCTTTTTTATTTACAGAACTTGTTGAAGGACGAGCTCCACTAGCTAACTATTCAATCAATGGTCATGACTATACAATGGAATACTACCTTGCTGATGGTATATATCCTTCATGGTCAACATTTGTGAAAACAATTCCATTTCCACAAAGTCATAAACACAAACAATTTGCTGCAGCTCAAGAGTCAGCAAGAAAAGATGTTGAACGAGCATTTGGAGTGTTGCAAGCAAGATTTGCCATTGTCCGTGGACCAGCACTTTTGTGGCATCGTGAAACTCTAAAGGACATTATGAAAGCTTGCATCATATTACACAACATGATTGTTGAAGATGAAAGACATGTTAAAAATTTAAATTATAATTATGATGCATTTGATGTCAATCCAGACATATCAATTTCGCACGAGCAGACAACAAAGCTTTTGGAATTTGTTCAATGTCATCGTCGCATTAGGGATAGAGATATTCATTCTCAACTACAACAAGACCTAATCGAGCATATATGGAAATTACATGGAAGTCATATATAACTTTTTAGTTTCGTGCTAATGGTGTTTGTAGCATAGGTTACTTTTGTGGCATGCTGCTAGTGCATTCAATCTGCTTTTAGTGCCTAAATTTGTTTTCTGCAAGACTATTTTTTTTTTTTTTTAGCAAGCAAACAAACAAACTTTATAAAAAAGGCCAAAGCAAATTTGACCAAGAGTTACAACATGATTGAAAAAACAAACTTTATAAAAGAGGCCAAAGCAAAATTGACCAAGAGTTATGGCATGATTGAAAGAGAAAGAACAGAGCAGCAAGAAAACTGTAGAAATAAACCTGAAAGAAACTAAAAAGCAAAACCACCACAACAACAACAGAGCTTTAACCACCAAAATTAGCATTTTTTTTTTTTTTTTTTTTTTTACTAATAAGCATAACAGAGCTTCAACCACCAAAACTAAAATTTAGCAATTTTTAGATCTCCTTTCATTGATTTCATTTTGACGTTGAATATAAAAATTTGCAAGCATTTGAGGCATCCCAGCTGGATCTATAGCCATTATCCTTTCATCCTCCTTCATTTGTTCTAATCACAGCTTTTCTTGCTCATAAGCAAGTCTCTCTTGTCCTTGAATATATGCCTTTTCAAATAATTCTTATTTCTTTTCATTGAATTGCCTCTTTTTGTCTCTCATTTCTTGTAATAAGTTCACATATGAACCTGTTGAGTCATTTTCCATATCTTTGCCCTTCCTTTTCTTTCTGTCTTTTTCAGCTTTCCTTGCAGGTGGTCTCTCTATGTCCACAAAGTCAGGACTTGTAATGTTGTCATCTCTAAAATTCACTTGAGTCTCTGATGTAAGAGTAGGACTTTTGTCTTTCTTTTTTATCGGTTTTTTCTTTTGGCAATTTTCCTTCCATTTCGGCCGAAGTCTCAATACAATCTAACAATGCTCAAATTGGAATTTACCTTTATTTAGTTCTTGGTATAGCAATTTTGCATTAGCAATCTGGAAAAGAAAAAAAAAATACAAACTAAAAAAGTGTGAATAATATAAATATATTTCTAAAATATAAAATAATAAATATCTTGTCTTGTTCATTGATGCGACTTTGGTTTCTTGATTCAACTTGAGCATAGCATCCACAAAATTTGTTTGTAGCTAGTTGAATTGTTGATCAACGGTTCATCAAACAAACTTGTGTACGTTCAGATTCAAAATTTTTGTATTTATGGAAGTACTCCCACAATCGTGCCCAATATGTTTTATGTTTCTGTTCATTTCCTTGCACAACATCTAAACTAGTATTAAGCCATGCTGACACAATAAGAAGATCCTCTTCTGTAGTAAAGTTGCCGCCACGTGATCTTTTAGAGTTAGATTCAACTGGAGTAGATAAATGAGATTCTTCAATATTGATGAAAATAGATATATCATCAGAGTTTGAAAGTTGGGTTGAAAATTGAGGATTTTCAGTGGAACCAGGGGCGTACCCAGGCCCTCAACTTTAAAAAAAAATTTGAAAAGTTTTTTTAAAAGACAAAAAAAAAAAGTTAAAAGTTAAAAAATTAAAAAGTTTGGTTTTATCTTTTTTATATTCAAGTTTTTCTTCCCCAATTCCCAACTTCCCATTTACATGCAGATCTGGATTTGGAGTGATTGTAATCCATATTTTTGTAAACCTTTGTGTATTTTATTTTTGTTAGAGTTGTGATTAAACTTTAAATTTGTGTAGAATATTTTTAGTGGATTTGTGGTTGTTGTAAATGATAATCCTATTTTTTCCTATGATTTTGCATTGATTTTCGATATGATTTAGGATACTTCTTATACAATTTGGGTCATAATTACTACCTAATTCTATTAATTTGTATTTGCAGGCCTAAACGATGATTTTGAACATAAATGACAGTTTTGAGCGTAAATTGCGTAACTTGAGGTTGGAAACTCAGAATGACCTGATTTTAGAAGCTTTGGAAAGCTAAGAAGTAGAGCTACAACTTTCATGATTTGGGTTTTTCCTAATTCTGACTGGAGAAGGGTGAAAACTTGGCTTGAAATCGTGAACAGTATGTTGGAAACTGAAGAAAAACGTCTTTGGACGTGCTTCAGTATTTCTGTCATAACTTGAGCTGTAGACCTTGGATTGTGCTGATTCTTGAACGAGTACAAAGATAATTTAAAGGGCTACAATTAATATGTTTAAGACTTTTCCATATTCAGACTTATTCATGCTCAACTTTGGCCCAAAATATTCTCAATGTGGCAAGGAAAAAGCTTCGTCGCGGCGAAACTGCGTCAGATGTAAAAAATAAAACGACAAGTTTTGGCTTGCTAGGGCTTGGCCCTTAAGTGAAAGAGGTATAAATTAGCACGAAAATGAAAGAAAAAGGGTCTTGGTTCGTTATTTGGAAGGCAGCTCTTGGAAGGAGAAGATTATTGAAGATTTGAGCTTCAAATTAGAGAAGATTTCTCCATATTTTGCTTGTTTTTCAATGATGAATCTTGATTCAGTTTGTTTTTGTTATTTTATTTTGTTTTTGAGTATGAACTGAGTTGTTTAGCTAGGGTTTGATGTAACCTTGATACAATGATTCAAATTTATATGAATTGATTTACTTTGAGTTTTAATTTTATGATTGAGTGTTTATCTCTTTGCTTAATGACTTTTAGATGCTTGATCACCATTCAAATGTATGTTGTTCACAATGAGACTGAGAAGTGATTTGTGATTGCGCCTCTTGGGATAAAAACCGTAGATTAAGCAAACGCTAGAGATAGGTTTAGCGATTTATGAAATCTAGACAGAATTCCATAAAGCTTAAAAGACTTTGAAATTTGAACTATTAATCTTCATTTTGTGGGGTGCGGAAGCTTAATAGGGATAAGTAGGAAGATATAGTTGGAGAAGGTATTTTTTACAACTTAGGGAATTCCATTTTCAATCAAGGAATTAGAACTTGGGTAATAGAATCTATGATCTGTGTTAGCGTATCTAGGTGAAATCAACACCCTAGCATTTTTTTTAGCATTTTGTTTAATTAGTTAAATTGTTGGGTTTTGCTTTAATTTCATTATCATTCATTTATATTTTCTTAAATTGTATTTAGTTCGTTAATTTTCCATCAATCCAATTTATTGTTGCTTCAATTATGACTTAAACTAGAGAAATCGGTGCTTAGTAACACTATCCTCGTCGGAACGATACTCTACTTATTAGTTTATTACTTTTTGCGACTAGTACACTTGCTACATTTGTATGTTTGTTAAAAATACGCATCAATAAACTTTTTTGATTTTATTGGATTTAAGTGGATTGTTAGATTCCCGTGATTTTTTTATCTCTTCACATTGAAGAGGTTTTTCTACGTAATAATTTTCTTGTGTTTCCTTGTGAATTGGATGTTATTTTCTTATGTTTTCACCAATTGATTGGCAAACAGTGGCGGAGCAAGAGGCTCCCCTGGACAAAAATCTTGGGTCCGCCACAGAGTGGAACCAATATACAAATTTCCATCACTACCAGCTTGAAAATTCATGTTTTAGAGAAAAGAAAACAGAACATGAATATATAGATAACTCAAAAGACCATTGTGGGGGGAGGAAAAACAATTTTTCAAAAAAAAAAAAAAAAAATTAATAAGAGAGAGAATTAATAAATAAAATATATTGAAACTTGTAATTTAATTCATTAAAATTATGATAAAGAGTGAGATTTGACTCTCTAGATGTGGAGAGTCAAACTCACTCTTTAATTTATATTTAAAGAATAAAGAGTATATTGGACTCTTGTTTTTATGCATTAACTCTTTATAATAGAGAGTTTGACTCATATAAAAAATCATTTGGAGATGCTCTAAGCCCCTTCACTAGGAAATTTGAATTTATTTTTTATTGAGGTAAATTTGAACTTGAGACATATATATACAATGGCGCCATGGCCACCCCAGGCCCAAGCCTAGGAGTGAGTATTTAAATTAGCATATTAAAAGTTACATAAATAGGAAATTTTATGTTTTCAATCAGAAGAACAACATTTTCCCACCCAAGGTTTGGTGAAACGACACTTTCCTAAGCTTTAAGTTTCAAACTGACACTTTCCCAACCTTTATTAAGTTTTGTTATGTTTTACGTTAATATTTTAGTGAAAAAACGAAAATCCCCTTAAATATTTGACTTTGCAAATTTTTATTATTTTTAATTAGTTAAAAGTCAAATATTAAAAAGTTAAAAAAGAAAAAATAGTTAACCTTACCTAAAAAGTTAAGACTAATGTTATGGAATTGTTTAATGTTAAATGACCTTAATATTTATTTATTTATAATGTCATCAATATCCTATCACTATTGCTCAATAATTTAGTAAATTTATAATATTTTTCATTTTTACTAATTAACATAGAAAATCAATATTCTTAATTAATTAAATAAACAAAAAAAAAATGTATATTTACACTTGAACTAATAAATAATCGAGTAAAGACTTTAACTGAATAAAATTTTAATTTATAATAAACTAATTAAGAAATATACTATTTAAGGATATTTTAGTCTTTTTAGTCAAATATTAACAAAAAATACTAATAGAACCTAACGAGGGGTGGGAAAGCGTCATTTTGAAACTTGACATATGAGAAAATGTCATTTCGCCAAACCTTGGGTGGGAACATGTCATTCTCCCTTTTCAGTCGACTAATCTTAAGTGTTGAAAAGAAAGACTTTCATACAAAGGGATACTGTGTTTATAAAAACAATTAAGAAGGGACATAAGTTTATAAATGGCAAAAATATGACACTTAACCATATCAGACCATTTAAAATATAGTTTTATAAAAGGGTATAAATATAAATCTATCTTATTATATAAAGTAAAAAAAAAAAAGACATTAAAAAATATTAATTACCATTGAAAGATAAACATGTGTCAAAAGCCCAAATACATAAGGAAATAACAAAAGAGGCAAAAGGAAATTCAACAATGTTTTGTTTACAATCAAACTATACAACCGAATCATATAACCAGATAAAAATTACATAAAATTTATGTAAAATGACTACTTTATCCTTGTTTTTTGTTTGATTGTGTGACTTAGTTGTAAGTATAATATTGTTCAAAGAAATTAAACAAGAGATAAAAATGACAAGAAATATAGCAATGTGAGTATTAGTGATGAATTCTATATTAATTTCCCTGAAATTTTTTAGTTTTGATTAGAGTTTCTTGGTATTTTCTTTGGTTATTTGGGTGTTGAGAATGCAGAGTTTTGAATTTTAAGTTAATTGACCGAAATTGTTTGCATTAGAACTTGAATAATCAATTGCAAATGTTCAAAATCTTATTTTATTTTCCATGATTTACTCAGCAACCAAACATCTTCTTACTGTCTTTTGATGCCTGTGTTCCTGCCCGTTACATGTGTGGGTTTAAGGATCTTGTATTCTTCTCTGTTACAGCACAAATATAATTCATTTCATCTGGTTGATCTCGAAGATCTAAGCACTTTATCGTGTTTTGCAGTTTCTGGTCTCGGAATCACCACAGCCATTTCTTTGGCAACGGCTGCATTCATCATGGTCTTTCTCTTTGCAGCTTATGCAAGCTATACAAGAATAAAAAGATGAAAGAAGGTGCAAAATTATTGCTTTTATAAATTCCCTTTGGCATTAGCATTCTGATATATTTACTTCTCCCTTACATCACCTAGAACGAAATAATCTTGCCCAAATTATTGCTTCAGTTTTAAATATGAGAGCCTCGAGAAGGCGACAGATTATTTCAGTGCTTCAAAGAAATTAGGCCAAGGTGGAGCAGGTTCTGTGTACGTGGGGACTCTTCCAAATGGGAAATCTGTGGCTGTCAAGAGGCTGATTTTTAATACGAGACAGTGGGTCGATGAGTTCTTCAATGAGGTAAATTTAATCAGCAAAATTCAACACAAGAACTTGGTGAAACTTCTGGGTTGTAGCATTGAAGGCCCTGAGAGCCTCCTGGTTTATGAGTACGTACCAAACAAGAGCCTTGATCAATTCCTTTTCGGTAATTGTTTACTCTCCACATATCAATCATTAAGGTCATTATTTCATCCAAGAAACACAGAAGAACTGTAATGTGATTCTAATTCTTCTTTTTGTTGCAGAGAACAACAAAACAAAACTTCTAAACTGGGAGAAGCGGCTTAAAATCATAATTGGAATTGCTGAGGGGCTTGCATATCTTCATGGAGGTTCAGAAAAAAGAATAATCCACAGGGACATTAAAGGCAGCAACATTCTTCTCAATGAAGATTTTACTCCAAAGATTGCAGATTTCGGGCTTGCTAGGAATTTCACTGCTGATAAGTCTCATATTTTACTCCATCTTTAAGCCGTGGGTATGTATTTAACAAATCCGTCTTTGAAACCATACTGGATAACCAAAAGCCCAAAGTCATAAAACTCAAATAAAAAATAAAAACAAAAGATCACATGCATACTTAAAATGTAAAATAAATCGCAAAACAGAAGATACATATATTACACTTGCTAGTTGCTACATACCTGTACCAAACAGAAATTTTGTCTTTCCTATTAAGTAATATCCCCATGCTGATAATAATAGACACTATGATTTTTGTTTCTAATTTAGTGAGAATCAGTTAAATCCACTCGGGCGTGCTATAAACATGGTTGAAGAGCCAAACAGGTTCCGGAAATTAAAAGATTTCTTCATTTTCATACTTCAAATTTTAGAAGAGAAAGAATAATGAAAACTTGTATAATGAATATGTACTAACTCAAATCCGCGTGGTGCTATTCGTAGAAGATGTAAAGAGGGGGAGAGGATCTGAAAGAAATCTTTATCTGGGGAAACGACTCGTACCTGTAAGAAAAAAAAAAAAATAAATAAAAGAAGAGGAAACAATAAAGGGTGAAATGCAATAACAGTATACAATGAGTAAACAGTGTTACACTGGCACATCGTTTTCATTGGTTCCAATTTCTTTTCAAACCAACATAGTGTCTTGCTTTCACATGTGGAAAAGACAATTATAGACAACCATAGTATCGTTCTGAATTGTGCAACAAAATGCTCAAGGATGAGTGTATACAATAGAAACCGATACAAAACCTTGGATTACTCCCATATGAAAATTCAAAATAGTTTAAGATACTTACCTTGAACCTGTCATCAACACTCCTCACAGCCAATGTTCCAATCACGTCATCGGCTTCTACACGAGGTACCTGACTTGTATAATAAAGTTTCATGATTAGTGCCTCAAACCATCAGATTAACTAATCCTATGAATACATGGTACTAGATGTTTACCTCAATCACTTTAACAGCCATAGCCTTGATGGATGCTTTCAAATATTGAAGCCCCTGAACTATGGTATCAGGTGTAGGGGGACGGTTGTTCTTGTAAGATGGATATAGAGTATGACGGAAATTCATGCCTTCAAAAAATTTAAGCATATATAATCAGCCAATCACTTTCGAAGAGAGTGATCATATGTTTAAAATATTAGTACTACCTAACCATAAAATAAAGAGGAAAACGATGAATTTACTTCATATATTAAAGTGATTTTAAACTAAAAATAAGAAGTAAATTACCAATACAGAAATGGAAGGGTGATGATAACAGATAGACGAATGCACAAAGGTCAAGGTGAAAAGAGATGTGATTGACCATTATGTAATAAAAGATCGACGTTGTATCCGCTAGTTTCAAACTGCTTTAATCCTTAGAAGACGTACAGAACAAAAATTTATGGAGTAATCATGAAACTTTCCTCTCTCATAGACCACAGGAGAAACAAAACTAGATTAAGAGCGATGATCAAACTAGCGTGGCTTCAAATCCAGCAATATCCAAGAACCAAAATAGTAAAATGGAAGTCTTTTACTGAAATATTCCACTTTACCATGAATATGACAGCCATCTACTGTACTTTGCCAGTGAATATAGTTACTGAAAATTATTAACAATAAGTCACAAGATACTGAAAATAAACATCACTCACAAGAGACAGAGCTGAAAATACAGTTAAAACCCAATCGCCATTGCCATCAGCATGTGATAGATGACCATGATGCAACTTTCCTGCTCTCCATAAGAAGGAAAAAGAAAAACAATAATCAGAGAAAATAACTTCCTACATTTTCAAATAACTATCAGACATTAATATAAATGCCTGACAAGAAGCACAGGTCTGACATTACAAAGTCAAATAAGCACAATAGTTAACCAAATACACCTCCTTGATAAAAGTGAATGAAGAAGAAGGAGAATATTGAGTTATTTCTCAAAGGCCCAAAAGAGATACCAGGTATCAAACACTAGTTTACAAAAAATTTATACCTTCCTCTCTAAAAAGAATAGTCTATTTATATTGCCAAATTAACTATTAAAAAAAAAAAAATCCAAAATAACAAATTTCCTAATTAAAGAAAAAGTAATACTACACATACATTATTTTCATATAATATTTCTCATATAACATTATATGACAAGATATGATTGGCTAATTTAAAATTAAAATTAAACTTTCACCCAATCACATCTTGCCATATAATGTTGTATCAAAAATGTTGTATGAAAATGATATATGTATAGCATTATTTTTAAAGAAAAGAAAAATGAAAGCTACACTTCT